AGAAGACAAAGTCCAGCTCTTCTGGTCAAGAATACACACACTGGGGCCAGGGGTGTGGCTCAATAGTAGAGCACTCACCTAACATGCATGAAGCTCTGAGTTCAGTCCAAGTTCAAAAGAAAAAAACCAAACCCACATCTTACCACCATCACTTCAGCCAGTGCTACCACCAGGCAAGTCATATAAGTAGAAAGACCAAAGAACTGGTATTTCTACCTTTATCCCTAATACTAACTATAATTTTTAGCAAAATGAAGTGACTTCATGCTCTTAGACCTTATTTGTGAAATGAAAGGGCTGTGTGTTTACCTTTAAAATGCTAATAACCTAAATTCAGTATGGAATTTGTAGACTCTGCTTATGCCATTTCTCTTTTTAAATAAAAGCCTATTACACAACAACAAGTGCTGGCAAGGATGTGGGGGAAAAGGTACACTGATTCACTGCTGGTGGGATTGCAAAACAGTGCAACCACTTTGGAAAGCAATATGGAGATTCCTTAGAAAACTTGTAATGAAACCACCATTTGACTCAGCTATCCCACTCCTCAGTCTATACCCAAAGTACTTAAATTCAGCACCCTACAGTGATGCAACCACCTCAATGTTTATAGCAGTTCAATTCACAATAGTTAAACTATGGAACCAACCTAGATGCACTTCAACAGATGAAAGGATAAAGAAAGAAACTGTGGTATATAACACAATGGATTATTACTCAGCCTTAAAGAAGAATAAATTATGGCATTTACAGGTAAATTGATGGAGCTGGAGAATACCATGCTAAGTGAAGTAAATCAATCCCCCAAAACTAAAGGCAAAAGTTTTCTCTGATAAGTAGATGCTGATCCCTAATGCGGTGGGGCAGGGTGTGTGGGTACACAAGAAAAGAATGGAGGAACTCTGGATCAGGCAGAGGGGAGGGAGGGGAGGGAAAGGGGTGTGGAGAAGGGGGAGATGGTGGAATGAGACGGACATTATTACCCTATGTACGGGTATGACTGCACAAATGGTGTGACCCGACATCATGTACAACCAAGAAATGAAAAGTTGTGCTCCATTTGTGTAAAAAATAAAATAAAATTTAAAATAAAACAATGACTTTAAAAATAAAAATAAAAAAGGCTATTACACAATCCTGCGTTCTAAAACCTATGTCTAGGCACACCTCCTTCCCTTTAACTCCACCACCTTACCTCACAACCTTGAGTCCCATGCTCCTGAATAACTATCCAGGGAGGCAATGGCTTTTCTCTTTCGTTTGTTATCTCTAAGCAGAGAAAAGGAATGAAAAATGATCTCAACCTTCCCATTGGGCAATTCCATCTCTGATGTGGCAACTGTACAGCTGGAAAATACCTGCATGAGATCCTAGAGTCCTCCCCGGCTCTGAGCAAGATCACTGCTCACAACTCTAGTCTTCCAGTTGACACAAACTGACACACCCAGAGAAAACTAAGGGTGGAGTTTTGTGATTCAGGCCTCTATTTGGTCAGAATATTGACTTTTGGGTAATTTTTTTTCCTTTAGGATTTTAGGAAAGACTAAGTTTTAACTGTGAGAATGACTTACCCTGAAAAGAATATCATTTTTTAAGATCACCAAAA